CATAGTGTCAAATCTCATATCATGATTCCAGTATTTTTGTTCGTTTTTTGTAAGTGGTCATCGCATTTTTGCCATTGCTCGGCAGAGAATTCGGAAAATAACCTTGTTATTATTGTAACTTTTTTGTCCAATGTAGCATTAATGTGATCTCTGGCCAGGTAATTTTTAATATTTGCCCACACAAGCTCTATCGGGTCTTGATGATATATAAGTAGTCTTAGAACAGTATGACCTGCAGCATTCAGAAATTCATCAACAGTGTATACTTTTTCTGATTTAGTCGTATTAATCAACCTCAAGAGTTCGGCTTTGATCATCGTGGGAGAAAGTGGCACGTCATGATTTTGCAACCAGTTCTGCATATTAATTTTCAACCTGGACAGTCGGTTTCTTCTCAACTTGCACACAATGATAGGCAGCATTATCCATAACTGTGACTGAGTTATGTGGAAGTTTAGGTATTAATTTTAGATCAACCCAGTTGTAAAAATTTATAGAGTTCATGTCTCCATGATAATCCCCCGTTTTAGAATCTGATTTAAAAATTAGCAAAGCATTGTCATTAAACGCCTTTGCCTATAGCTGTATAAATTCCAGGCTCCGACGAAGATTGCCAACATTTTTGGACATTGTGACTTTGGTTAACGTAAGTTTCGTTCAAAAAGAATATATTTCGTTTGTCTTCTCTGAATTTTCTTATTTCAAACATTTCACTCGCCATTCAATTATGTTTGGTCTCTCTATTAAAAGGGATCTCTTCGATTTACATTTTTTAAATGAATATCCCAGTTTGTACAAAAGTTTTCTTAAAAAAATTAATCCGCAATCTTAATTTATCCTTTTTTAACACCGCATGCAGTTTTAGTTGAGATGGAATTTTTTTCTCTACCGTATAAAACTGATTTATTTTCTTATCACTCCTAAATCAAAATCATCAACTTGTATTTTCTTTTTTATTTCTTTTGGTCTCCGCGGAGATCTAAATTTTGCTTCCTCTGTATTTTGCAAGGATTTTTTACTTTCAGCAATCACTCTCCTTACATTTCGTTCTGATATCCCTGTTGCTTCTGCAACTAATTTATGTATATTCACATCAGTTTTATATTCTAAACTATTGATATTGGCTTTCCGTTTTTTTTTAAAACGTATGCACTTTAAATATTATTTCCTTAGATTGTCTTTTTATCGGCGGACTCATCTCGCTATTGCAATCTCATGTGCGTTTTGTCTAAACTAGCCGGAACTTTCTACGCGTGTTACCGTCGCGAAGTACGGCGCTGCACTGAGTAATGACAGCAAGCGTTTCTCGTTTTTCTGTCCCACCGCTCACATACCTAAGGCGCGGCCAATTTTTTTTTTTGCGCCCGAAGCAATTAAAGGGCTACCCTATACGTAGGGAGGCGGAAAATGCATTACGCATACCACGATAGCCGGTCTATCGTGGTTATGAGGGACTCACTGTCCTACCGGGGACCCTAAGTGATACCCTCTAAAAACCGCCTTTGGGGACAGGCCAGCCGGCTGATTAAGCTGTATTGTGCCTTATCGTAAGCGACCCTCTTTTGGGAAAAGAGGGCGCAGGCGGATAAGAGCCGCTGAGGGAGTGCCTACGAAGGCAAATTAATATTAGTCAATACAATAATTTAATTTAATTAGAGTTGGCCTGAGCCGCCAGGAGGCAGTTCAGGTCGTTTGTCAGTTTGTTAGGCGGGTCCGAGAGAGTTTCTCGGCCTGCGTACTCGATAGCGAGAGGGGGGTGGGGCTGCATAAGAAGCTGCCTCACGAATTAATTGATTTGGGTGCGACTCTGAGGCTTTGAAATTCTCAGAGAGTTTTTTAAGAAATTGTTGAATTGTTGGAAGCTCTAGGTCCCGATGAAGGCCGGCATTACGGACGTACCAAGGTGCGTTCGCAGCTCGACGACAGAAAAGGTTTTGAACTATTTGGAGTTCATTAATAATATTAGGGTTTGCGTGGGCAAAGACGGGGCCCGCGTAGGACATGACTGGTCGTATACAAACCTTATAAAGGGTACGCTTGTTGCGGAGGGACATTTTACTGTGTCGGCCCAACATACTGTTGAGCCTACTCAGATAAAACCGTGCGTGACGGGTTACTCTTTTGACGTGGGGCCTGAAAGTGAGCCCTGTGTCCAGAGTGACACCTAAATATTTGGCGGTCGTATGCCAGGGGACAGGGGTCCCTAGCATACGTATTGGTGGAGTGTTTTTGAGACGGCGTCGTTTATAATCGAAGTGAACGGTGGAGCTCTTCTCCGGGTTCACATCGATGCGCCATTTTTTGAACCAAGCTCCTAGGTCATCAACTGACTTTTGGATCTTGTTCCGTATGAAGGGCAGTGAGACACCTTTGCAGTAGATAGCAGTGTCGTCTGCGAAGAGCGAGAGCTGAACACCGTTCGACGGGATGGGAATGTCGTTGGTGAACAGGATGTACAGCAGAGGAGGCGCGGCCAACTAGTTCCGCGCGCCATTATAGTTGACGCGGATAGTGTGCGGGCAACTCACGCCATGGCTCGTCCATACAAGTAGCCGCAGTGATTGCGCGGGCAGCAAGTGGCAATCGGCGGGAGAAGCGGAAATCTTAAAACCATTACAACTAACCGCGCGCGTTGTAATGACGTCTTCCGAAATAAATGTTGACGAATTTATTTTGTAAGACAATTTACTATGTTTTCTTACATATAGTCAAACGTATCCAATAATATTCTCGTATATCCAAAAAACTTTTGAGTTTGCGCTCGCAATTTTACATTCAATGTGTGAAATTCTCCTTCATTTTCACAGGGTAAATTGATTTCATGAATTCCATTTTCTACTTGTACAATTTGCCATTTAAAGTAAAAACTTTCCACACACTGGACTTGACAACGCTCAGAACTAAGCCGCACTCGACTGCGAACAGCGCCGCGCCCGTGTTGCAGTCTGGCCAAGCACTGACTGTTGCCCACGTTAACCATCAGTTACCAATCAGCGCGTCAACCACCTCATTCCTCCATGACAATGACTTTGAATGTGACGCAAAGTACTTTGAACTTTAAAAATAAATATAAATATTGTTTTTAGACATGTGTCAATCATGCATGTACACTTAAAAGTATTAATGGTTCATTCATTTGTTTTTGAATGTACAGGTTTCATCAATCATAAACAATTGACGGAACCTTTTTAACTTTTGTTTTGGTGTGAATTGTGAATGATCCGAAAATCGACCGAATCCCGAATGATCTGAATGAACAGGCGAATCGAATTAACAATGCAGACTGCAAAGTATCAGGAGTATTTATTATTTGTTTTTATTATAATATTGTTACCTAAATTAAAAATTATTTTACATTTTATTATATTTATTTGTTACATCTATGAGTTAAAAATATCATTTCAAATGCAAATCATTTATTTAATGTGTATCATACACCTATAAGATAAAAGTTTAATTTTGTAGCAAATAAATGTTACAATCCTTATAATTATATAAAGTAAGATGAAATTGTGTTTTGTTAGGAATGAAATTTAAGAATAAACAAATTATTAAATATTTATATAATAATATTGAATAAAGTTATCAATCAAAATCAAATCAAATCAATTGAATCACTTGAGGTTTTTGTGTTTATGCCATCTAGCGTCGATTGTACTTACCACCTTGAAAGTCAATAAGTTTAAGTTCGATAAAATGATTTTATTACCTATAGCATGTATTAGATGGCGCTATTACAAATCTCAAATATAAAATTTTCGGTTCCCTATGGATCTCACAGACTTACAGAGTACTAGAATAATCCATTTGAATTATCGATCCGAATGTACCGGTACGCGCGACGAAATGTACTAGAATGATTCGGTCACTAGAAATAAATGGATTGACACATGTCTAATTGTTTTGTATTAAATTGTAATTAAATGCGATAGAATATGTAAAACTAGTTTTTTTCCTATATATTCATTAGTATGTACTCGCATAGATATTAGAAATCAATAAGAATTTTTTTATAGTTGTGTTGTCGTCTATGTTTTTGGCAAGAAACAGTCGACGAATTTCCTTAATATGGGATGTCGTGCAGTAGAGTCAAAGAAAAGACGGTCCCTCGTAAAATATGTAAGTTGTAACAGTAGATGGCAAATTGCGGGAAGACGGAGGATAGCAAGGAAAGGGTTAGAAAGGCAGAAAAATCAAGGGGGCGGAATGTAAGTCTCCTAAGATCAAATCTATACATATTATGTTACTCGGGCCTCTTTTATTTTAAATAATACATATAGTAGTTTCAATGATCAAATTACTAAAAATAAGTATTTGTAAGTCAATAATTAATTTACATAATTGAATTGATTTTAATAAAAGAATCGTCATATAAACTAACATAAAGTTAATATTATTATATAATGATCATTTGTAATAAAACAATATAATATACTGAGCGGTGTTTTCCGATTAGGTCCTGTGTATGGTGACAGTAGAAGTTAGATGGGCCGTTCAAAGCCTACTACGAGGGCGACACTGAAAGCTTTTAGAACTGGCCACTTGTAAATGATATAATAAAAAAATAAGTTCGAATTTTGAAAATGAAACTCCTTGCCAATATGATTGTGTATATATTTTATTAACCCTCTGCTACTGACGTAACGTACGTCAGACACCGCAAAATTTATATGTCTGTCTCATTCCGTCATTTCGCGACATAATCTCCTGTCTCGCTCAGTACCTTCCTCTGAGAGCGCCACCTACGCGTTAGTGCGGCGACGGCAGCCGCAGTGTGCGCACGTGGCTAGTTGGAGCTATCAGGTGTCTACAGGACGTAAGGTCAGTAATAAGTGATGGATCTGTCATACGTATTGTCAGTAAAATATTTATAATACCCTACTGTCTTACATACGTCACATCAGTAAAATAGTTATGTTTAAAGTATCTGTCGTTCATCACCTTAGCAATATGTTTCTATATAATTTTAATGACCTATGTTGTTGTTTCTATCTATATAGATGGCGAGTACCAGTAATTCGAGGAAGAGAAATCTTACAGGAAAATTACTTGAACAAGCACTTGAACAGTGGGTAGAAGAAGATAATGAGCACGAGTTTAGTGATGTAGACGACGAAGTAACTGATCAAAATGTTACAATTGAAGAAAAAGAACATGTTGAGAGTGAGATTTCAAAAGTCGAAGAAGTAGAAATTGAAACATCGAGTGAAGGGACAAATCGTTCTACTAATACGCCTGACTCGAACCGCAATTGTTATCGAGGTAAAAATGGTTTTGTTTGGTCAGTTACTGACTTTTCAAGGACATCGCAAACACTAGCTCGTAACATTGTGTCTTTACCTAGACAAAACCCTGATCATACGAGATTTCCAAGAAGAAGCTTTTTGATGACAATATGATAGAAACAATAGTTTCCTGTACAAATAAAAAACTTGAAAGTTTACCGCCGCCAGTTCTCTAATTATTCGAAACACGAGCTGAGAGATACAAGTGCTGTAGAAATTCGATCTTTACTTGGATCATTATACTATTCCTCAGTATTCAAATGTAACGATGCTGATTCAAACTATTTGTTTGCGACTGATGTAACAGGTCATGAAATATTTAGATGTGTCATGTCTAAATATAGATTCAACACACTTTTGAATTGCGTGAGGCTGGACAATATTGATGACCGATAGGAGCGCTTAGAAACTGACCCTCTTGCTGCTGTTTCTGGATTTTTTGATAAATTTATCGCAAATTGTCAAGCAAATTACACACCCGGTCCATACACCTGCATTGACGAAATACTATTAGCCTTCAAAGGTCGCTGCAAATTTGTCATCTACATGCCAAAAAACCCGCTAAATATGGGATCAAGATAATGGTCTTGAGCGACGCTCGGGAATCCTACGTATATAACGCGTACATTTACTACGGCAAGGGTTCTGATGGTATAGGTCTCCCGGAGGCTGAGAAAAAGCTTTCTGTCCCTACACAGTCTGTGTTGCGACTTATAAAACCCATTGAAAATAGCAATCGTAATGTGATAGCGGACAAATGGTTCAGCTCAATACCTCTGGCAGAAATGCTATTGAAAAAAGGACTGATATATTTGGGAACATTAAAAAAGAACAAACGAGAAATACCTCCAGAGTTTATGCCAAGTAAAAACAGAGCTGTTGAAAGTTCTCTTTATGGTTTTACAAAAGACCTCATTTTGTTGTCTTTTGTCCGAAAAAAAGATAAAGCCGCTTTTAGCTTTCACCATAGTGCTAGTACGGACACAGAAACTAGAAAACCGACCATAATAGTCAATTATAATCACACAAAAGGCGGGGTCGACGAAATCGATAAAAAATGTGCGATATATTCCTGCAGTCGTAAAACGACACGTTTGCCACAAGCTATATTTTATCGAGTACTAGATATTGCTGGCATCAATGCATATGTACTTTATAGTCAATGTGAAGGTGCGAAATTGAGGAGAGGAGATTTCCTTATGCATCTATCCAGAGAACTAGTATTACCCGCATTAAAACAGCGAGTTTATAATTAAAAACTCCCACGAGAATTGCGATTGACTCTTTGACGCGTACTAGGTCAGGACTTGCCCCCACCACCTTTACCCGAGTCTTCTAATGAGCCTAGTACATCATCACGAAAATTATGTCGCATCTGCCCAAGTAAATTGAAGCGACAAACAAGATTTGTTTGTTGTATATGTGCGAAACATATTTGTTTGCAGTGTTCCTCGCAAATTTGTGTTGACTGCAAGACTGAACTTTGAGACTGATTAAAAAAAATCACTGTAAGGATTTTTATAATTTAAGTGTTTTTTTTTGTTTTTTGAAGCTTGAAGACGGCAACGTTATGTTTTTTTGTTATTTCTATTAATTTTATTATTTTTCTTGATTGTCAAAGTTCCTAATTACAAATGTTCCTATAATTCATAAGGTTCCGGTAATAAATAATATTTTCTTAAAACAATGGTTTTATTGGTCTGTTTTTTACAATGGCTTAAGAAATATAATGTAAACTTTGCTAAATTCAGTTTTATTTTTAATAACTAACAATAAAATTTGAAAAATCCTTACCTAAAGTATACGTCCAACAGGCTACTCCTCAGTAGAATAATTACAAGAAAGGCACCTCAGTAGCAGAGGGTTAATTTGTCATTTATTTACGATTTGGCGGCAAATGGAAAACAATGATTTTTTACATTGAAGTAATTTGTACTTACGTACTAGAACAGCTATCTCAAACAAAAAATGTGCGCTACTCTGTGTTCGCGCGGTTGTTTTTTTATCATAGAATAAACATAGACAGAATTATCCGTAGGTAATAGTAGATCGTATTGTTAAATAGGTAAATTATATCGAGAACAATATTTAAATTTTGTCATTTATTTTGTATATAATATTTGCTTATTTAATATAATATTACATAATATTATATCACAATTACATTTTTATGATATTTTTATCTGAATAATTTAAAAGGTATCTGAGTCATATCAAAAAAAAGTTGTACATATTTTTATATGGTACTCTCCTTTATGTGTCCTAGTAAATTATTCGATTTTATTTTGCAAAAATATAACATAACATAAACACTCACGCCTGTCACCCAGAGGGGTAGGCAGAGACTACAGACTTCCATTTAGCACGATCCTGACATACCTTTCTCGCCTCTTCCACATCCATATACCTACGCATACATGCTCGTCGGTTAAGGGTACTCTTAATTTGGCCCATTTTTAGTATATCGCCAATTTGGTCGACAAACTTCCGCCTAGGACGTCCCTTTCCGACTCTTCCATTAACTTCTGCAACATATATTTGCTTTGTCAGTCTTTCCGCATTCATTCTTTCTACATGACCAAACCACCGAAGCATTCCTTTCTTAATCCTGGTCACCGCATAATCTTGCGAACCACACTCTTCTTTTATCACACAGTTTCTCACCCTGTCACTCAGATTCAGCCCTAACATACTCCTTAGCGACCGCATTTCTACTGCATTTATTCTACTCTCGTGCTTCTTCTGCCACACCCAACTTTCACTACCATACGTTAAAGTAGGGACTAATATAGCACTGTGAATTGCCATACGTGCCTTTTTTGACACATTCTGACTTTTCACAATAGAGTGTAGAGCCCCATTTACTTTATTTCCTGCATTCACTCGTCGTTCAATATCCTTATCATATCTCCCATCCCTGCTGAATACACATCCCAAATATACGAACTCATCCACTTGCTCAATTAACTCTCCTTCTATTCTTATTTCACATACCGTCTTGCTTTCATCTCTTTCAAAAACCATCACTTTCGTCTTACTTGCGTTCACTTTCATTCCCCTTTCTTTTAATGACCTGTTCATTAATGTAACCATCATTTGCAACTCGGCCGCCGACGACGCAAGTATGACTTGATCATCGGCGTACAAAAGGCATTTGATGGTTAACTCACCCATTCTTAACCCGCATTCTTCAACTTTCAAATTTTCCAAACAGCTGTCCATAAATAGGTTGAACAGCCACGGGGAAGCTACACAGCCCTGTCTGACACCTTTATGGATGCCAAACCAGTCCGAGTAAACCCCGTTGATTCTAACACAAGCACTCGAGTCCCTATACAGAGACTTTAATGCCTGTATCAAACCAGCGCTCAACCTAAATGCGTTCAGCGTTTGCCATAACACATCCCTGTCCACTCTGTCATAAGCCTTTTCCAAGTCCATGAACGCACAAAAAACTTTTTGGTTTTTCGCCAAAAACTTCTCCGCGATCATGCGCATGGAAAAGACTTGATCTGTACACCCCATTCCCTTTCTAAATCCCGCTTGCACATCCCAAATTTTTTCATCAGTTTCTTTCATAACTCTTTCAATTAGTACCTTAGCATACAGTTTTCCCACAATGCTAAGAAGGCTGATACCACGGTAGTTTTTACAGTCCTGCTGTGACCCTTTTCCCTTATATATTGGGACTATCACGGCTTTGCACCAGTCTCCCGGTACCCGCTTTAGTTCCCAACATAAATTAAACAAGGTGTACAGCAGGCCTGCCACCACGTCCTCTCCAGCCCTTAGCATTTCGAGTGAAACTCTATCATATCCGGCTGCCTTACCTACTTTCATGCTTTTCATTGCTTTCATTATTTCATCTATACTTATCTCCCTATCTCTTTCATCTTCTTTCGGAATTTCTATTTCATTTAGTTCACACTTCTCCTCACTCATAAATTCGCTTTCAAAATATTCCTTCCATCTCTTTAGACTCAACACTTCATCATTCAGGATACAGCCATTCTCGTCTCATATCGCATTCAATCTAGGCTGTTTTGAAAGTCCCCCTGGTATTTCTTACGAGTTTCCAGAACATTTTAATATTTGCCTGGAAGTTATCTGATATTCTTCTATCATTCCTATCCGTTCTTTCTTGCTTTTTCCTTTCAACTAATTCTTTTACTCTCTTATTTAAACGTTTAAACTCAGCCTTTTTTCTTTCATTCTCATCATTCTTACCGCCAGAATTACCAGCTTTGGTCGCTAGTAAATCTAGCCATGCTCTCTTCTTTGCTTCAACTTCCATACGTACCTCATCATCCCACCATAACGTATTGTCTTTCCTTTCATTCGTTCTCTTACTAACACCACATACTTCGGTAGCTGCATCCACTAAACCTTTAACATAAACATAAACATTATGCCACACATTCTCCAAGTCTAACTCATTCACACACAACTCATCCAAATTACTTATATTTTCTCTCAGTCTGCATTTGTACTTGTCTTTCACATCTTCATCTTGTAACCTCTCAATTCTTATACGCTGTAACGCAGTGGTAGACACAGATGTCCTATGCCGCCAACGTCTGAATAAACCCCTAATTCGGCATAAGACCAGGTAGTGGTCCGTCCCTACGTTGGACCCCCGGTAAACCCTTGTATCCACCACTGCGCTCCTCATTCTTTCATCCACGGTTATGAAATCTATCATGCTTCTATCATCACCTCTTTCCCAAGTATACATGTGAATCTTCTTATGACGAAAGAAAGTGTTCGTCACAAAAAGATTCCTTTCCACACATACGGTGAGGAGGCTTTCACCATTCTCATTTATACTTTCATCACCAAACGTTCCCAATACCCTTTCATAACCAAGCCTCCTCACCCCAACCCTTCCATTAAAATCTCCTAGCATAATATTTTCATTTCCCTTACACTTCATTAATTGCAAAAATAATATTGAATATTGTCCAAATTGTCTAACAGTATTCTAAACTAAACAATTCATTTGTAAACTGAGCAATTTTTTAACAATACTAGCCAATAATACAATTTTATTTCATCAAAATCGAATAATTTACGAAAAAAATAAGTGTCCTACATTTATTGCAACTTTTAAAAATCGTTTTATCAATGATGTGCTTTTATTCTGCTGACCTAAACAAGCTACACCAATTGAAAATGAATGAACCTATTGATTTCATGCTTTTTAATTGATAAATTACTTGAATAACTATTAAAAAAGCGTGTAAAACTATGTGTCCTATTAAATTGAACCATTTACTGACACTCATTTAATGACGCGAATTTCCACTTTTGCTTTTCAACGAAGCCGTGGTAGTTTTATGATATTAAATGTAGCAACATTGGCATGCATCATAGACAAGTTGCCATACTGCCGCCATTTTTGTTTTCGTGACATTCATGTTTTCATATGGGTTCGGCGTGTGTGGAAAAAAAGTGTTACTTATTTACTGACGCTGTTCAAGTGGGAAAAAAGTGAGTAAGGAACATGTTACAATTTGCATTACATACGAAAAAAACTAATTCATGAGATAATATCCTGCCGAAGTTAATAATTTAACAATCTATAAAATTATAAGAAAAGTTAGGTTATGGCACCTCAATTTCTTGACACAATTTCATGACTTCCTGACGTCAGTAAATTGTAAAACATGGTTAGGCCGAGTTCACATGGCAAAAATGAAAATAATTATGGTATTTTTTCTACTGTTTTGTGTCAATATATGTTTTCTATCATTGCATCTGTATTGCATCATTTTCAAATGTTTAGCAAAAACGTTTATTTTGTGAATATACCTAAAAAAACGCCACAAAAATAAAACATAATATTTCTTTATTTTATATCAAAAATAAAAAATAATTAACGTGCTACTTTATTTATTATACTGATTTATTTGTTTATTTTTATTTTGTTATACTGATTTTTTTGTAATTGTAGATGCCGTTAACTGGTGCAGAACGCCAAAAACGGTATTTAGAACGGTTAAAAATAGAGCAACCGGAGAAGTATGAAGAAAAGCGAAAGAAACATCTTGATAAAATAAAACAGCGACAGATTTATCAGAGGAAGAAAAAACTATTCAAAGAAAAAAATGGCGTGATGCAAATAAAAAAAGAAAAGATAAGAAACAGGAATTTTTACAAAAACAGAATGAGGAAAAACTAAAAAAAGGAGAGAAATTCGTAAAAATGTCAAAGAACTTAATCGAAAAATTATTGCTCTTCAAAAGAAATTATACTGTTGTAAGAAAAAGAATGAACAATTAAACAAATTAGTTAATGATCAAACAGATTCAAAGGATATGCAAGTATTGAGCGAACCGTTTTCAACTTATGATGAAGGATATACCAATAATGTGCAAACAGAAAGGACACCAGTTGCTACTCCGTTAAGCAAAACTATCTCTTTTATGGATTCTTTGTCATCACCAATCCCAGATATCGATAAAAATAAAATAAAGAAGAAAATTTTCGAGCTGAATGTATTATCAAATTCTCTTGAATCATAATACAAGAGTACTAACACAAATGTATCAAAAGCGCAAATAAAAAACATTGCTGATAACGAGGTTACCAAAAAGTATCGCATGAAATCCAATTTTTCACTGAAGTTAGGTCTCAAGGGAAGAATAAGGAATCGTCACGGGTCTAAAAACCCAAAAAAAAAACAGAATATTAGAACAAGAGATTAAGAATTTTTTCCTTCGAGATGACATAAGCCGCTCTACAGCAGGGCGAAGTGAAGCCAGGACTCGGAATAAGATAAAAATGCAGAAACGCTTTTTGACAGATACCATAGACAATTTATACAAAAAATATCAATCAGAAGGAGGAAAAGCATCTCGAACAACTTTTGGGCGATATAAGCCGTTTTATGTTATAGGCCCTCATGTGAATGACAGAAACACTTGCCTGTGCACAAAACATACAAATCTACAATTTAAAGCAGATAAACTAAAAGCTTTAGGAATTCTGACAACAAACTCGCTGTCACAGCTTGTGAAGGAAGTTGCTTATGACTGTAATTCCAAAATCTGCACGTATTCTTCTTGTGAGTTTTGTAAAGACAAAATGCCTGAAATGAACACTGAAATTAATGGCAAAAAGGAAATACGTAGTACTAGTAAAGAAAATGAAAATTATATTTTTAGGCGAGCTATAGATATTAATGAAGCATGATCAAAATAACTTTAATTGTTAATATTTTTCTGGAAGTAGAGAACCTGTTATGTTAATATTATGATGATTCTTAGAGTTAAAGCTTTACTTTCTGGTGCTTTACTTCATATTGTTCTATATAAGTAATAACATTGTTGTAATGAGTACATGTTAAAACAAATGCAAGGCATGTTATTTTTTGTTTTGTCTAGAAGAGTTTTTTTGTTTAATGTTGTAACTTAAAGCTTCAGATTTTTTTTATATAAGTAATAACATAGTTGTAATGAGAACATGCTAAACCAAATGCAAGGCATGTTATTTTTGTTTTGTCTAGAAGAGTTTTTTTTCTAACATACCAGAAGTTTTGTGTTGTATTAAGTATACTAGATGTTACGAGTTTGATTTGTAATACTAGTAAGATACCAAAGTAATTCGTGAGTAAAATACTGATGACTGATTTTCAAATATTTTTTACTATTCCAAACACACCTTTACATTTACAATTTCCTAACATTTCTTGACAATACCATTTCTTAACTATTTCTTGACGTACATTTTTTTTTGGATATGAGTCATCTAATATCTGTCACATATAAAAAACGTACTAAATGTGTGATAACAAAATTTATTAACATAAAATTTAAATTACAAATATATTTATTTAAATTAGAATAAGAGTCGTTCACAAATGCTGGGCACGCGAAAGTTAAAAATGGCATTTTTAACTTTCGCGTTAAAAAAAACGCATTTTATTCCACTTTGACTTTGATGTGGAAACCTAAAAATAAAATAAAAGAATAATAAGTAGATTTAAACATTTAGCCTAATTATAATAACTTATACATGTTTCTACAAAAAAAATGTGTATAATAATATGTATGATAATATATGTGTTCGTCCCTTAAGTACCCACAGAAATGACGCATCTGAACAAATTAATTTCATAATCTATATTCCATGACACGATCTTCTTTATCTCTTCGAATCTTTATCTATCGAATCTTTAATACTTTTTTATTGATTAAGTATCTTATTAACCGATGAAAAGTAATTCCTTAGTTTTTACTGACATTTCTTGAATTATTTGTGCAATATCGAAGTACACACGACGGCATATTTTTATCAAGAGATTTTTTTTTAAATCAACACAACACGTGTCAACTCTAAAAGCGCCTAGCGAGTGACTGATTAACGTGCGATGCACCGCAGTTGAGTGGAACAGAGTAGCTGAATGCAGTGTCGCCTCTAGTACGTAGTACATAATAGCTCAATGTTTTGTTTATGAGTTTGGATGTTATTTAAGTCATCAAGAAAATTATGATAGACGTCGATTGGCTTTCCACTATGAAGCCCCATCTCGTACCACCGTTTACAACTGATTTAATCAGTTTAAGCTAATCCCACCGATGATCTGCGTGAGGGACGGCCTTCTACGGCGACGACTGAAGATAACATCAGTGTTGTGCGTCGTATGATAGAGACTGACAAAAGAGTGACTTATCAGCAGATTTGGACAAGCTTATGCATCGGTATGAGTCAAGTGCACAAACTCCTCCATGAACATTTAGCGGTCAGGGAGCTTTGTGCCCGGTGGATACCTCATCATTTGACAGAGGCCCAAAAACTCCGTCGTGTTGATTAGTGTCGTGAATGGTTTAAAGATTTAACGAAGGTGATTAAAATGTTGTGTTCGACATAATTACGGGTGATGAAAGCTGGATTTATTGTTATTATCCTGAAACTAAAAGACAGTCTGCTGTCTGGGTGTTTCCTTCAGAGGAGTTGCCAAATAAAGTGAAGAGTGGTCGAAACGTGTAAAAAAAAGTGGTGGCCTCGTTCTTCGGAAGGACAGGTCATTACGCAACAATTATTTTAGAGGATCGATACACAGTTACTGCAGAGTGGTACACTAACAATTGTTTGCCACTTGTCTTGGAAAAAGTTCGGGAGAAACGACCTCGCAGTAGGATCCTCCTTCACCACGACAACGCCTCGTCGCACACCGCCAAGCAAACAATCGACTACTTGGCGACGTCAGACGTGGAATTACTGGGTCACCCACCCTATAGCCCCGACCTCGTTCCTTGCGATTTTTATTTATTTCCGAAAATAAAAGAAAAACTTCAAGGAAAACGTTTTATAGACGCCGAGGAAGCAGTGGCTGCGTTTCAAAATGCCGTCGAAGAGACTCCTAAGGACGAGTGGGCAAAGTGCTTTTCTCAGTGGTTCCATCGGATTCAGCGATTTGATGTAAATGGATACTAATTTGAAAAGATATAATAAAACTAATAACTTGCTAATGCAGTTTTTGATTTTCTAAGAACTTTCAGTGTTACCCTCGTATGTATAGTACTACACCGGCAATTCAGAATAAAAACTGTGTCATTTGTGGATAGCACAGGCGCCGGCTGGAGCGGTAGCTGGCACGGTAAATATGCCACGCAATTGTATTTTCTTTTACAACAGTTACTGTTTTTAGGCAAATACGAAATAAAGGGACATACTTATTTGAAATGAATTTCGAATTACGTTGGAAAAGTGCGAACACAAATAATGACAGCGTTTTTATGTGCGCACTTTTTTTCTTAGTCACATTAAACAAAATCAGTGCTAGATTGTCGGAAACAATTTTCGGATTTAAAAAACAAAGAACTGGTTTTCTCGACTGCTCGCAGTTGACTAGTTACGGAAAATTGATCGTAACTTAGTGCGCAATATATTAATGTCGCAGAGCCTATCTTGTAGTATAAATAAAATGGGCGGCGGTAGTCACTTAACATCGGGCGAGCCGTACGCTCGTTTGCCCCCTCCTCTAAAAAAAGAAGTCTTTACAGCCGCCATTTGTAATCGCATGCTTTAGCGTGCGTGCGTGTGTGTGTGCGTGTTACGCATCGTGTCCCGCGGTGCGCAGGTGCCGCAGCAGCGAGCTCTTGTCGCGGAAGGGGCGCGCACAGCCACCGCACGTGAACACGCGCCCGTTGTGCGTCGGCATGTGCCGCGAAAGACCTGCGCATGGACGTTAAAAAATTAAATCAGTCTTTATGATTAACTTCATGAATTTCTAACTTAAACAAAACATTTCCAGCAAATAATGAATACAGGCACTCACTAGACGTGTACCTACAGTAACAGCTTGGGGCAGCGCGAGGAGTAGGTTCACTCACCGGACGCGTACAGGAACAGCTTGGGGCAGCGCGGGCAGCAGGTGCACTCACTGGACGCGTACAGGAACAGCTTGGGGCAGCGCAGGCAGTAAGTATACTCACCGGACGCATACAAGAATAGCTTGGGGCAGCGCGGGCAGCAGGTGCACTCACTGGACGCGTACAAGAACAGCTTGGGGCAGCGCGGGCAGCAGGTGCACTCACTGGACGCGTACAAGAACAGCTTGGGGCAACGCGGGCAGCAAGTATACTCACCGGACGCATACAGGAACAGCTTGGGGCAGCGCGGGCAGCGATGCAGGCTGAGCGGGCGCTGCTGCGGAGGCGCGTGGGAGCGCGCATGCACTGCCAGTGCACCACGCTGCGTGAAGCTCTTCGGGCACTGAGCACACTGGTACGGCCGCTTCTCTGCACCACGAATGCCAATTTTACACATTTATTTATTACTGCCTATAATAGCAAAGTACACATCGAACATAGTAGCTACGTTCGAAATCAGTAAAATTGCTTTCTATCATCATCATTAAGAGTCAAAAGTCAAAATTAAACGCTATCAAATCCGTAATATTTGTTTCATTTAATGTGTAGTGTTCACGTAAATATAACAAGTAATTGTTTTAAGCTTAACGAAATTCTAAAATATTTTCAAGAAAAATAATATTGGTGTCAAGGGTAATAATAATAAAAATATTGCATGCCTTAAGGGCAAAGCGCGTAGGTATGTTCTACTAGCGCCTAAAACTCAAGAATCCAACGTTTTGTCGCATGAAATCGTATCTAACAATCATATTGTACTTATAAATGATATAAAAAGCACATTGTCAGAAAGATAAATGATTGTTGAACTTTAAATCGATTAATTGCTATTGTTACGTTAAAAAAAGTGGTTTTAGTGGCTTATTGTGTAGATTTATCACGTCCGCATGGAGGGGTAAACACGATAACTTTTGAAAATATCAATTGTTCAACTCAATCAGTTTTTAATCTATTCATGTGTCATGTGGGAAGCAAATGGAATGTAAATGGCTGTTTAATTTTATTTTGTTTAGTTATAACTAATTAATTTTTTCGACGGAGAAAATCCGAAATTTTCGGTGTTTGCGCAGTACACTTTGAATCACATCATCGTAAGTGGATTACAGTATCGTTTGTTTACAACGGCTCGTGGTGAAAAAACTCGATCGCTGTAGAAATACAAAATATTCCAAAAACTAAATTTGATACATACATACTTGACCAAGGTAATATATTAATATTATTTTTATAATCACAGATTTTCATTACAATATATTGTTTCGCTAAAAGTACGTAGGATTTATACAGGTTATTTTTTAAATGTTTCTGAAAAAGAAGACAGTATTAAGGATACATTTGAACATGAGACACAAATAAAATCGATCCCGATGCAAAAGACATAATTTTTTACAACGTTTAATTAGCTTTATTCATATTAGTGAATGCGAAATTAAAATACTGGTTATGACTAGATGAAAAACTTTTTGAAAACGAATTTAAAGACGATTTTTTTTACGATAATGCCAGAGTACAACTAAAAATTAAAGTAATATTAAAGTTGATTTCTGGTCGTTTTAAGATAATTCTGTCAAAAGTTTTTTCAATTAACAGTAATAAAAAAAATGAATCTATAATAATAACATAATAAAATTAAACACAATTTATTTTCTATCGTTGATTGAGAATTTTTTCCTAAATTTTTTCACGATCGTAAGAGCATTATAAGTCCGAAAGTAGAAAATGCAAAAGTGCACACTTTTGCATTTTCAACTTTTTTATTGACGTTTGACATAGAATTGTCGGAAAGTTAGAAGTGATATTAACAAGGCTATTTGTGAAAATTTGTGTGTATTTAAAATACTTTAAAAAATTGACGTATAACATGAGCGCTTAAGGCATGCAAGACATTTGGATTTACCAAGTTTTTTCAATCTATTGATATAATTACAGCTATACATTACCTACCACAAGTTCAAGGTTGGTACAGCAATATCGGCTAACCTTCTTTTATTGATAGCTTTGTGTATGAAACATGATTTATCAATATGTTCGGAGCAAATGGTGCTAGTCCGTTTAGGTACCCAAGATTCATGATTTCTACAAGCTGCAATTCAAGTCTGCCGCCTAAGAGAATCTCTTGGAAGTATGTGAAATCAAACCAATAATAGAAAAATGTATTGCTTTATGTAATACTTTATTATAAAATCTAAACAAAAAATAAAAACCTATTCGGCAGACAAACCCGAATGGTTAATTAACCTATCGATAGCTGAAGTTGTGGCGTATATCACTACATTGCAGTATTTTCGGTTGCAGTGATACCATTGAATAAAAATCATCAATCATTGAATAAGAAATCATTGTGCAGTGATACCAGTTTATTTTATATAAATTGCATACATTTGTTACGAAGGGGCAAGTTTCGATTCGACTTATTTGGTCTTTATTTTGATAAATACTAGTTATCGATTATATTACATTATAATATATTATATATGCAGAATCGTGTTGAGATTGAGCTGAATATTTAAATCAATTGACAAAATCCACTACACATCTTAATGTAATCAATATTATTCATCACAAACTGATTTAGTTAATAGGAAATAAATTTTCATTAATATTTTTATTTTGCGTAGTAAACAACATTAATTTAAAAATAGCTTATTTTCACTTCACGAACTATGATGGCAACACTTGGTATTTAAACGAAAATATTCAGAAAATATTAGTTTCAATGACAATATTATGTTAAAAATATTCACAGATGAAGTCACGTTGTCCTTTTGTAGATTTGACAGTTTTGATCTTTTTTGCATTAAAATACACTGCAACTCGGCATTTTTGTCGGAGCTCAATGGCGCACGACGCGGAGCAACTAGTTTTATATAACGGGTATGAATCGGACTCTCGTACCTTTGACAGAGGCGTATGCCTTGCGATGATGCCTCCTTTGGTTTAATACTCAAAGACCCTAGTTAAATTACAGGTCTGACTCGGTTATTTTATTTTAATAGCCTAGTTTTTGAGATAATCAAGGCACTTGTACAAAGTGCAGCTCCATCCCTAGTAATTTCACATCGTACACGCCGTTCGCGTATTTGTACATTTTTGTATAATTTTAATATTGAGGAATCAATCAAGAGAACTTTCAAGATTGGGTGTAATTTTTTTAAGCGTGGCCCTCCTAACAGTACGTGTGCGTGCGCACTGACCGCAGTGCATGAGCTAGTGGCGCAGCTGTCGCTGTGCGTTTGCGTCCGAGAGGCTGCCGCGCGTGCACTCTGGCGGGGCGCGCTCGCACGTATGCGTGTGTGTGCGTGCGCACTGACCGCGGTGTACGAGCTCGTGGAGCAGCGGATAGGCACGCCAGCACGTGTATGCGTATGCGTGGGCGTGCGCACTGACCGCGGTGCACGAGCTCGTGGCGCAGCAGCGATGCGCGCTGAGCAAAAGCGCGCGCACACACTCTGCAGGCGTACGGGCGCGCGCCCGAATGCACTCTGGCGTGGCGCGCCAGCACGCTGCGCGTCGCGAACTGCTTGCCGCACGCCCCGCACTGCGGCACCGCACCGCCCCCGCCACCCCCCGCACGCAGATCGCCCGCCCTTTACAGTAAAACTATATGTGCATGTGTGATGCATGTTGACCTGCAGTGTAAGATGATGGATGTAAAAATACATGAAAAAGTGGGCCCGGTTCGCTACCAGGACATCGTTTATGGTAAGGAGAAGTTTAACTGGTTGCATAATTTTGCACATGGATAGCACGCGCTGAAAACTGCCATGGAAAGGAGAAATACAACTAGGGACTAGGATATAAATAATTTGTAGAGAGTCCAGAAAGTACATGCAAAAGAATCTAGCGCAAATACCGTGTATATCTCTCGTGCTTCGGCCTAAGGGCCGCTCTTTACAACAAGTTACTTCAAGTTACTGTTACTTTCTTTAATGGAAACTGGGACCATAGACATTTACATCTATCCACGGTTAAGAATCAAAATACAAATGTGTTGTCACCCTTGAGGACTAACATGGAATTAGACATGTGTCAATCACGAATGATTCGTTTGTTTGAGCTGGAACACTTGAAAAGTATGATGGTTCATTTATCTGTTTTTGAATGTTCCGGTCACTCACAATCACAAACAATTGACGGATCCTTTTTAACTCTTGATTGGTGTGAATTGTGAACGAGTCAAAAACCGACCGAATCCCGAATGATTTGAATGAACAGGCGAATCGAATAAACAATGCGGACTGCGTATCAGTATCAGTAGTATTTATTATTAAGGGTTTTTTGTTATAATATTGTCACAAAAATTAAAAATTATTTTACATTTTATTATATTTATTTGTTACATCTATGAGCTAAAAATATCATTTCAAAAGATTTCATGGCAAATGATTTATTTAATATGATAATTTTGAACCACCTTATATAAGTATAAGATAAAAGTATAATTTTGTAGCAAATAAACGTTACAACACAACACCTATGCCGGTAGTTGTTGGGAGCACTAAGCTCGAAGTTGTTGACGAGTACGTTTACCTGGGACAAATAGTCCGACTAGGTAAGTCCAACTTCGGCTGAGAGGTCAATCCACGGATTCAACTCGGCTGGGCAGCGTTCGGGAAATTACGACACACCTTCTCGTCAGGTATACCTCAAAGCCTGAAAACTAAGTTGTACAACCAGTGTGTGTTGCCAGTGATGATCTACGGAACCGAGACGTGGTCCTTCACTGCTGGCCGTATGAGGACGCTCAAAGTCCCTCAGCGAGCTATGGAGAGGGCTATGCTCGGAGTTTCTCTGCGTGATAAACTTAGAAATGAGGATATCCGCAGTAGAACCAGAGTGACCGACATAGCCCAACGGATTAGTAAGCTGAAGTGGCAATGGGCCGGCCATATAGCTCGAAGAACCGACAACCGTTGGGGAAAAAAGGTTCTCGAGTGGCAGCCTCGTACCGGTAGGCGAGGTGTAGGGCGACCCCCCTCTAGATGGAGTGATGAACTGGTAAGACATGCAGGAAGTCGATGGATGCAGGTGGCTCAGGACCGTGCTTTGTGGCATACCTTGGGGGCCTCCCCTATGTTCAGCAATGGACTTGTGAAGGGCTGTAATGATGATGATGGTGAAACGTTACAACCCTTACCTTTAGACTAGTAAAGCCTAATTTTTTTTTTATTCTAAATCAAAACAATATTTTCTTTCCACTAAAATTGCTTAGCTTTATAATAAATAGCGCCATCTATTTCGTTCTGTAGGTAACAATTAAAGTCATTCTCATTTTATCGAAGTCGATAAAATGAGAATGACTTTAATAGATGCTAGATGGCTTAAACACAAAAATAAATAATATGAATCAGTAAGATGAAATTGTGTATTGTTAGGAATGAAGTTTAAAAATAAATAAATATATTAAATAAACAAAATATACATAATAATATTGAAAAAAGTTACCATGTTTGTCAATTACATTCATAATATACCGACCGATTTATGTTGTTTTTGTGTTTATGCCATCTAGCGTATATTGTTTTTACCACCTAAAAAGTCAATAAATTTTTGTTCGATAAAATGACTTTATTACTTATAGCAAGTAGTAGATGGCACTATTACAAGGTCAAATAGAAAATTTTCGGTTCCCAATTGATCTCACAGACTTACAGAGTAATGGAGCCCGAAATGATCCATTTGAATGACCGATCTGAATGTACCGGTACGCGTGACAAAATGTACTAGAATGATTCGGTCACTAGAAATTTATGATGTCTACATGGAATGCTTCATTTCCAATAACAAGGACGCCGGCTCTCTACACTCACCATACGAAACACAGCAACATTAAGCTGCTATTTTACGCTGGTATTCCTATTCTGTAAGAGCGTGGTCCTTCCCGAGTCCAGCCGACCCATTCGTGGTGCAACCACAATATACTTGTAGCATGGCTTTACCACATATAACTTGCGTCACTGCTGAACTTGCCCTCTTAATACGATAAACTACTTAAGTTAAGCAGTCTCCGGTTTAAACTAGTCTATTCAAAGAAAAGAGGTCCGTAGGAAATATACGAAATAAACTATAGAATTTGACAACAAATTTCAAATTTTGCAAAGAATGTGGCACCTCGAGTAATGGGAATCTTTAGTGAAAAAGATTCTTCTGGACCATAGTTTATAACTGAGACCATAAACAAACCACGTTTTATAATGAGACGCCTAATGTTCATTTGTCCATATCTATGTTATGTCTTAGCCACTGAACTCTACAAGTACGCTGGACTGGCTATACTCTACAAAATGTTTGTGTCCATTTGAAGCGCCGCCAATGTTCGTACCGGGAACTAAAATCTTAATCTTGGTTTTAAAAGAGGTATAAAGCTTGCGTTTAAGGCCTAGGTATTAATTGATACATTTATTTTTTATATGGCATTGTATTAATATGATACATGAATATAATGGATGTTACGGGTAGGCCTTTATCAATATATTTTATCACACTAACTTATCACTATTATTAATCCTGTGGAAGTTCACTCCTGCTATCAGTGCTAAAATGGCGAAAATCAAATCGCCTCATTATGTCACAGTGTATATCCAGTACATATATAGATCTCAGTGGCCTTAGCCCATACAGCTTAGCTATAGCTTAGCTTAGTCTGATTTTAATTTTGTTTAAAAAACTAATTAGAGACAAAAGATTAATTAGAACGAGATTTAGGCGAACGCTTAAACCAGCGGATAATTGATGAGGATAATATCTCGAGTACTAAATTGGTTATACAATCTATAAATATCTCAAAACGTGAAATTTTTATCTCTCTATACCCATCAGACTGGAACAAAGTAGCGCACTTCCAGGATTTTGCCCTGGACTCCTAGACAATTTTATTACCCTGGACAATTTCATTATGCTGACAAGAATAAAATGAATCGAAATATCTTTATTTCTTCGAAGTAAAAATTTTTATTTATTAAATCTACTTATTTTAAAATGAGGTTCTACAGACCAAAGGAAAAATGGTGAAAAAGAAACATTGCAGTTTTTTTACTTCTTTTTGTCCATTACATAATGTGTTTTATTATAAAAGGAGATATCTTCAGTTGCAACTGAGACACATTCTATGGTGATAAAAAAACTAATGATATAATTTGTTGCTCTTAAGTGCATAGCAAATGTAACAGCCACAGCGCTGCCATGGTTGGCAATTACTTATTCTTTATGATGAAATAACTCGGTACTTACTTTTTCATATTATTATCCTCAATGTCAAGTTGCTTAGCTAAGTTTGAATTATTTTCATGTAAATTTTCGGTTTGTGTTACGTTTTGTTCCTAAAAATATTTCACCACATTATTTATAATTATAATTCTAATTCTGAAAGATTTAGTTTTTATGCATATGTGAAATTTATTATTAAACTCCTTAAAATATAAAGTTTAAAATCTTAGAATTATAAACAGATAAATTGATAGATAATTTGTTCATTTGTTTTATATGTGATAGAGTCAGGCTGCAGCTAGTATTATGATTGTAGCACAAAAAGGGTGACTTGACCGGAAAAGAACTATGCTCTTACAGAATACCAGTGGATATAGCAGCTTAATACTGCTGTGTTTCTTAAGGTTAATGTAGTAACCGGAAATCCTTTTTACTGGAAATGAGGCATACCAAAAAATGCTGTCATCACACAGTAAAATTTCTATATTATATTAAATATAGATATTATATACTTATAATGGAAATTGTATAATGAAATAAGGAATACATACAGGACGATATAATGAAGAACTAAAAATACAAAGAGGGTCAAAGAAGATATTCCTGGGTTGTTGATTACTGAAGGATTCCAGGAGGCGATTCCAGCTTTAGAAAGAAGGGACAGAAGTAACCCACATGGAGCCAAGGTAGGTAAAAAGACAAGACATGTGGTCTGCTGAACAGAATATTTCTGAAGTCTTAGACTTTCCCTTTTTCCTACCCGTCTTTATTTTAAACTATATTAAAGGTGACAAACAGGCATAGACTGTATGCCTGTTTGTCACCTTTATTTGTTCCTTGTCACCAGATGGTAAGTGAATGTTTTGGCTCATTGACACCTACATCTATCCTCAATTTAGAATCAAAATGTAAATGCGTTAACATCCCTGAGTACTAAGACGGAATGCCTTCTTACCAGTAAAAATGATCTCCGGTTAATTATAAGTTGTGGCACGTAACTCTAGCGCTGAACGAAACGTGGAGGGTATAGCTGCGAATGTCGTATCAATAAAGGGGATGAAATACGACTGGAGAGCCAATCAGCGTGTGCGAACAATTCGCACAGCCAATCATACGCAATAATGCGCAATACGGCTAATTATGCGCAATAATGGTCACCGCTAGACTTTCGTGCACTCACCAGGCTCTTAAATAATTTAAATTGCAGAGGTTACAGAAAAACTTTTACCTCCTCTTCCTCCATAAGTTCTACAACATATTGTCCATCACCAGTCTCCAGTTCTAAAGTCTTTATACTGTTGTCCATTACTATAAATTTATCATCTGATCTTGTTAGTATACCTAGTTCAAGTAAAACTGTAGATAGAAATGTTCCTAAATCAGGATTTACTGTTGACTGTACATTTTCTTCAGGGTTAAAACGGTCTTGTGTCTGTGAAAAATGGATTAGTAATGTTACAAGTAAATACCTAAAAGTAACTATTTATAACCTCCGATGCAAAAGAGGGGTATTATATGTCTGACTGCTATGTGTCTGTCTGCCTGTGTATCTGTACACAATTAACCGATCTGTGTGTGTTTTTTTATTTAAAAGCAAGTTTTCTAGAGGTGGTTCTTAGATATGTTTTACCAAAATTGATTCAATTGTTTGAAAATCCAGCTATTTGTGTTTCGGGTGTTTTTTAAATTTTCAATTTAAGTTATTTGCTAGATGATTGTGACAATGTAGACAATTTCCAAAATCTTTGAGAAGTAATTTAACTACTTAGGAGCAATTTTAGTCACAAATTATTGTACACTTTACCATAGAGGCACAAACATAATATTCTAAACTACTTAGCCCAATGTAACACTAATGTGGCAACCGATGTAAAATCAGCGGTAGTTCTACAACTACCGCTGGTGATGCTACACACCACACACACACGAAAACTCAATTTGTGTTTTTGCACAAATGACACTCTGATCTGCTGATCTGTAATTAGGTGTTCTGACCACTTATGCTCAATTTCTATATTCAAGTAACTAGGTCTATTTTATTACATATGAAGCGCATGTAAAAACAGTTTTCACAAACTGTTTGTTTGGAAACTTAATATGACTTATAATGAGAAATATTTAAGCGGTTCTAAGTTTATAAACCACTATATTGTTCTAAAAGGGTTTTTAATGGAATTTATGTAGTTTAAATGGCTTGTAAAAGAAAACATAGTATTATTGATTATAGAAACCCAACATAGCACATATGATTGTTTTAAAGTTATTATTAATATGAAAAAAATCTTATAATTTAATCTATCTATAGACGAAATTACTGTTAAGTACTATGTTATAATTTTTGCCTATTGCATACTATGTAAATTAATGAATTTAAAAAACAATAAATTCAACTGAAATCACCATTGAACTAAATTACATAGAAACGACAAGGCGTACAAAATGTTTGCCAACTCATTCAATCACTCTCCTACGCTCAGCGAGACAATGTGTCTAGATTGTGATTACACGAAAATTAAAAAATGCCATCGTGCGTAAAAAGATGTTGGTGTGACATATCACCAGTAAGTAAACAAAACATGTGCTAAAAACCACTAAATTTAATATTTGATAATAATTTACTACCACTGCCACGTGGCTGCCATTTCTATATGAAAATCATAGATTATGAAAAGTGAACCATACAGATGGGAAACGCACGAAACTACCTACTATCAGTTTTGATGGTTCTTTTTCTATTGAAATTAGTATTACTTGGACTCGTATATTTTATTACTTATTTTTTTATTTAAATGACATATTTTAATCTGACCATGTTTAAAATATCTAAAGAAGTCTTCGACATTGTTAATGTACTTTTAAAGGTACCGGACAGCCACAAATTTTTATGATGAGTAGTTTAACTTCCCTTCGAATGTGTATACTCTTTTCGATATACCTTATAAAGTATTCACTGGTTACAAAAAGATTTATATCAATTTTACGTAATACGAAGTTGAGGTTTGGCCGTTCTTCACTGCTTGTTTATTCTATAGGCACATAATACCTTCGTACCATGTTGAACTAAACACGTAAGCGGCGCCATTTACGACTTTTTTCTCACGAGCATAGAGCTTGCTAACTACAACTTTCAGCAATCTAGAGCTACCTGTTATGTGACGTTTGCCTACACGGCATAATATTTCTTTAGCGCTGTAGCTGGAGTAAAGTTACAAAATAACCATAATCACTGCAAAATTGTTTACAGATAGCTGCTCTAATACATAGTACATAGTATCTCGATGGCAGTCACTGACAATTTCTAGGAAAACATCCCTCACATGTTTGGTTTCACAATTTTTATCACACACTGCTCAAAAATATCTGCTTGAAAGGACTTACCTCAACATTATTGTTTAAACTCACTTTACCATTTACAAAGTTATTAACATCTGAATGCACAATTTCTGATTTATCATCTTCTTTGCATGGCGAGTTAAATGATTCAGCGTCTTTTGGTATATAATGTTCTGTAAGGCTTGCATTTTTCATATCATCTAAATCACTAAGTTTTTGGTGCTGTTCTTTTGAGTCTGCTTTATCATTTTCTTTCTGTTTAAGAGCTAGGAGATGCGACTTCAGTTTTTGATACGTCATTTCGCATTTTTTTCGGAAAGAATAAAATCTTTCTAGTTCTTTATAACAATCTGTACATAATAAGTTAGGTAGGCAATCATCCCGTGAAACCTACAGGCAAACAATTTAATGTAAACATTAATTGTAGGTTAAATCGTGAAATAAAAGTTGTAATATAAATAAAATATACCTCAAACCCAACACATATCATAATTCTCATCGCTAATGATGCACAAATGTTATCTTTATCGCTGGTATAAATTGACACACTTTCATCGGCCTTTTTAAGGCAGAGTCTGCAAAGTTTGTGAACATCTTCTATAATTTGATGCTTGATGGGTTTACGGGAATAAGTTTTCATGCTTTCAGTACATTAATGAACAATTTATGATACTTCATTCGAATATTTTTTAACCAATCAATGCTTTACTCTACAAAGAACAATTCTTCAGTCAATAATAAACGCCATTTTATGTTGTACGTTGTAATTCCAAAAACTTTTTTAATTTAAAACTTTAAATTCGATTTGCGTAAAATAAAATAACCTTTTTACAAGTACAAATACAATCTTGGACAAGTATATGTATAATTTTTGTGATAAAGTAAACAATTAAACGTCAATGTCAAATTTCATAAGTATAGGGATGTTCCGAAATACAACCCAGTACACTGTCGAATGCGAATGACGTTATGAATCGACGCTATACTGGTGATTCGTTCCAAAACATAGGACAGTATATGACGTCATACATTTACGCCATATTGGAATGGTGTTGGCGATTATTTTGTCATTTTGTGCTCCAAAAATCATTATGTCTTCCTAATGAAGATACCAGCAATTATTCTATAATTTTTTGTATTTGAATAAATAAAAACAAATTCTGGTATGCTTCATTCAGCGCACACACAATTAAAAATTGTTTTATTGTGGCCTGATATCCGACGCAATATGGCGGCGGCACGCCAGTACAATAAAGTGTCAATTGATGACGTCATTTGCATTTGACATTGTATTAAGTTGTATTTCGGAACATACCCATAGTGTTCTGTGACAAACATTGTTACGATTTGCCAATTATCGAAGCCAAAGGACTTATAGTCCACCAAATCCACAAACTAATAAGAGCCAAATCTAAGAAATACATTTTGACAGCTGTCAGACTTATTGCACCAAGCTTACCAACGAAAAAATACAATATTCGATTATTAAAAAAATCGATATCGATTATTTAGAGTTATGTATGTATAATTGTATTTTTTTGTATTTGTATTTCGAGTTATGTATGTATAATTTGAAAGACAAGATTTATCAGTTTCTTCGTATTTGTTGTAACTGCTTATTTCTAGAGGCACAATTATAATAATTTTAGATTGTAACTAGATTGAAAATAAATTTATTCAATCATTTTCAATACAACTACTTGAGCTGTCGTTGTTTAGATTAATTATTATTTGATTTTCAATAATGCAGTAAAAATTAATGTCTCTCAAAGTCATCCATAATCTTTTTTTTTTTGTTTTTTCAACCAATTTTGACCAATCAACTTTCTTGACATGGGCACATGCTTCAACGAATACAGAAGAAACAGTCCAAAAAGTTAAAGTCGAGTCACAAAATAAGGAGACAAACAAAATCATAAAAATACGCGTAGTAAGCTCCCGAAATGGCGGGAGATTGAAATTACGTGGTGGTTTTTTCAGCGCGGCTTTGTAAATGAATTTTTTGCCTACACAAAGGACAATAGCGAAATCAGTGAGTTCATTTTATACAGACGAAGATCTTATAACATACAACCGAGTTTGACATGTATTTTATTCAGAAAACTCTTCTATATATACTAATGCGTCCTTTAAGGATTCCCTCTATGCTAGTAACTACCCTATGTAAACATATATGAAAACGTAGACAAAAAAATCTATAGACAAATAGACGCCTTCTTTCGCATTCGCAGCATTCTTTTGAGTCTGCTTTATCATTTTCTTTCTGTTTAAGAGCTAGGAGATGCGACTTCAGTTTTTGATACGTCATTTCGCATTTTTTTCGGAAAGAATAAAATCTTTCTAGTTCTTTATAACAATCTGTACATAATAAGTTAGGTAGGCAATCATCCCGTGAAACCTACAGGCAAACAATTTAATGTAAACATTAATTGTAGGTTAAATCGTGAAATAAAAGTTGTAATATAAATAAAATATACCTCAAACCCAACACATATCATAATTCTCATCGCTAATGATGCACAAATGTTATCTTTATCGCTGGTATAAATTGACACACTTTCATCGGCCTTTTTAAGGCAGAGTCTGCAAAGTTTGTGAACATCTTCTATAATTTGATGCTTGATGGGTTTACGGGAATAAGTTTTCATGCTTTCAGTACATTAATGAACAATTTATGATACTTCATTCGAATATTTTTAACCAATCAATGCTTTACTCTACAAAGAACAATTCTTCAGTCAATAATAAACGCCATTTTATGTTGTACGTTGTAATTCCAAAAACTTTTTTTAATTTAAAACTTTAAATTCGATTTGCGTAAAATAAAATAACCTTTTTACAAGTACAAATACAATCTTGGACAAGTATATGTATAATTTTTGTGATAAAGTAAACAATTAAACGTCAATGTCAAATTTCATAAGTATAGGGATGTTCCGAAATACAACCCAGTACACTGTCGAATGCGAATGACGTTATGAATCGACGCTATACTGGTGATTCGTTCCAAAACATAGGACAGTATATGACGTCATACATTTACGCCATATTGGAATGGTGTTGGCGATTATTTTGTCATTTTGTGCTCCAAAAATCATTATGTCTTCCTAATGAAGATACCAGCAATTATTCTATAATTTTTTGTATTTGAATAAATAAAAACAAATTCTGGTATGCTTCATTCAGCGCACACACAATTAAAAATTGTTTTATTGTGGCCTGATATCCGACGCAATATGGCGGCGGCACGCCAGTACAATAAAGTGTCAATTGATGACGTCATTTGCATTTGACATTGTATTAAGTTGTATTTCGGAACATACCCATAGTGTTCTGTGACAAACATTGTTACGATTTGCCAATTATCGAAGCCAAAGGACTTATAGTCCACCAAATCCACAAACTAATAAGAGCCAAATCTAAGAAATACATTTTGACAGCTGTCAGACTTATTGCACCAAGCTTACCAACGAAAAAATACAATATTCGATTATTAAAAAAATCGATATCGATTATTTAGAGTTATGTATGTATAATTGTATTTTTTTGTATTTGTATTTCGAGTTATGTATGTATAATTTGAAAGACAAGATTTATCAGTTTCTTCGTATTTGTTGTAACTGCTTATTTCTAGAGGCACAATTATAATAATTTTAGATTGTAACTAGATTGAAAATAAATTTATTCAATCATTTTCAATACAACTACTTGAGCTGTCGTTGTTTAGATTAATTATTATTTGATTTTCAATAAAGCAGTAAAAATTAATGTCTCTCAAAGTCATTCATAATCTTTTTTTGTTTTTTCAACCACTTTTGCCCAATCATCGTTTTTGACATGGGCACATGCTTCAACGAATACAGAAGAAACAGTCCAAAAAGTTAAATTCGAGTCACAAAATAAGGAGACAAACAAAATCATAAAAATACGCGTAGTAAGCTCCCGAAATGGCGGGAGATTGAAATTACGTGGTGGTTTTTTCAGCGCGGCTTTGTAAATGAATTTTTTGCCTACACAAAGGACAATAGCAAAATCAGTGAGTTCATTTTATACAGACGAAGATCTTATAACATACAACCGAGTTTGACATGTATTTTATTCAGAAAACTCTTCTATATATACTAATGCGTCCTTTAAGGATTCCCTCTATGCTAGTAACTACCCTATGTAAACATATATGAAAACGTAGACAAAAAAATCTATAGACAAATAGACGCCTTCTTTCGCATTCGCACCCGAAAAAGATAGATTTATGAATACGTCTTGCATAGAAATGAGACGGAGCGGTGTGATTGTTTGTCCCTTCTCCGTGCCGGTTTTTTTGTTTAGCAAAATATACTTTGCTTAACAACTTTGACAGTTTGTAGCGATCTAAGGAGTTTACAAGTTGGTTTAAGTAAGGAAAAAGTGTTTTGTGAGCTTAAGATTGGTGAACATTGTTCAGTTCAGTTCTTATAACAATTAAGAATTTTATCTAAATATGTTTAAAGTCATAAAGGTTATTGTATAACCGAAAACTACGTTATCATCTTTTCTCACTCGAGGCCACGCTAATCGTTATAATCATAGTCTATTGGTTTTAAAGTAAAATAATATATATTAGTAATAAGGTAAAATTATATTGACTAGTTATTTGTTGTAACGATTTGCTAGTCTGATGTGTATTTTATTTAAACTGGAATATCTCTAATTCCTGACTTCTTGCAGTAGTATGACCGAAGAAAAAAATGTTCAGGATCTTAAACTATATTTTTACATATTTTGCATTTTTAGACGCAAGAAAAAAAGTCAAGTAATATTTATTTGAGAGTTCGCCATTGTCCTTTACGTTGACAAAGTAAAAAAATAAACTTGTTTTATTCATAATTCGTGTAATTTAAGGAATTTTAAAAATAAAAATTTTATTAAACAAATACTACATTAAAAAAATTAGTGATTCGATTATTTGAATATTTTTAACGATTATTTGAATCTTTATACTGATTATTCGTATATCAATGAATTTTAATCATCCAAACACTACGGTAGGGCACATAGCGACATATCATTGAAACAACGTCAAGTAAAAAAGTTGATGCTGGTTATTTTTTTAAAATTTGGTTTGTTTGAAAGATTCGAATTTAAACTAGCAATAAAAAACTTAACACGTTGTAATTAAATATAGATAACTTCATAATTCTTCGGATTTAGGTAAAGGTATTGTAAATCGTAAAAGTACGCTTGTGTAAAGTTATTGCGGAATGACTAATGTGAAACGTCAAAAGGTATTTCTTGGATTTGGTTGACTATAGATCATACAAACTAAACTGATGAGTATTTTATTCACAAAATTCTTCACAATATATAATTGCCGCCACGAGTCGTGAGCACACTTTTTATTGGTCGATATGACGATGACCACGCTGACGCTTAACGTGATTGGTTCGTCAGCCGATTCTCGTCGTCTATTGGGTTCGCACGTATCATTCGACTACTGTACACTTGAGAGCATTTTAAGTTACAACTTTTTAATTAGTTTATTTTTGTTAATTGTAGTGTTACCTCGTTGTTAATTGTTGTTTATATATTTCTTGTTTTTAACTGTTTTTGATATTTCTTGTTGTTAATTATTTTTTTGTTATAATTTGAACATTCGGATTTTGGGCTAAATATGCAGAGAAGAAAGAATTCGGTGTTAAATAAACAATCCCGACAAATGGTCTATTAAGTGTTTTGTTACATGAAATAATTAGGTATTGCGAAAAACAAGATAGACGTTTATAAACAGACTGCTGAGAAGACTAATGTCTAAGTAGCTACTGTACGTCGTATAGTTAAAGGAGTAAACGACTCAGAATTTCGAAAAAAAGTCAGGGAAAATATTCAATTATGAATTGAAATAACAACAGTACCTAATCATTTTGGCCGACGGTGTACCTACGCTGGTTCAACCCCCACCATAGTTCATCTGTGCTCACCTTTCGTGCCGGCAACTATACTTATATAGCTCTCTACGATATATTACTTTCCTCTATGTATAGTTCGTTACAAAGTTTTTGGGAGATTTTGACGTCAGCTTAACAGCGAACTATAACGACGACGGTAGATATCTCTAGCCACCCAACTGGATTAAAGAAAAAACTAAGAATCACCATCGAAGCACATATACATTTAATTGAAATTTGAAAAAACCCAGAAACAAAAAAGCTGATGATCTTCAAACGGCTGAACCAATTTTGATAAAACATGAACCTCCGCTAAAAACCTGCTTTTAAATTAAAAAACTGCATACAAATCTGTTTACCCGTTTAGAGCTATAGACTCGCAGACGGACACATATAGCGGTCAAACTTATAACAATCATCTTTTTCATCAGGGTTAAAAATAATTTTCAATAATACCAACTTCATAATAATAAATATTTAAATAATAACACTTAAGTCAAGGCTTTGATTTTTATATACTAGCACTAATGTCTTAGCACCGTACCGACTACAGCATGTGAAATTATTGTTTGATTGTATTCTCTGAAATAAAAGTCCTACTTGCATATCGTTAAGAGTTATGTCATAAAACTGTAGATCATGAGTTTATGATAAAGTTAGTACCAGAAAAGGAAAACGAAATGGATCCTAGTGAATGAAAAGCTTTGTCGTCACAAAGCCAAAAAATTGAAGACCTTTTACATGAAAGTGACTATATTTACCGCGTGTTCGGCGGTGAAGAAAAACATCGTTAGGAAACATGCATGTCTGAGAAATAAAAAAAATACTTTGAAGACATGTGAAGTTCCCCTACACGCATTGGCATTGGGATAGTGCGACGGACGTTTCCTTTTCCTGAAACCCTCTCATTTCTGAAAGGCCCAGCAGTGGGACGTACATAGGCTGTAACTTTGACTCACATAATAGATAAATTAAGACGGATAAAGAAACTTTTTTAAAAATTAGGAAGTTCTACAGACAGCGGCTCAGAGGAAACAAGTAGATCCTTTATCATCATCGAACGAAAACGATGCTGTCAACACCTGGAACAAGCGGTAATGTTTCTAGCGTTGTGGTCACATAACGAAGGAAGTAGCCGATGACATCTTCGTGGCAATACAGAGGAAGATGATCAGCGAGGCTTGGAGTTGACAGGACTCTGATGCGTCGAGCCCAGTTTTTAGAGGCAAACCCGTTTACAAGAAGGGTGTCCTGAAGCTGTGGTGTGACGGTCAGAAGGCTCTGGATTGGTTGAAGAGGAACATTACCACCCTCTACCTTAAATCCAACAACTCGCTGATGATAAAGAAACAATCCAAGAGATACCACAGAGAATCAATTGTGGTATGCTTATCCCTGATGCTCAAGGTACCTGGAAAGACTTAGCGATATCGGTTGTGTGCTCGCGCACCATAACCGCTTGTTAAACATCAGGAACTGGCTGCTACTCAAAGCTGATAAACTGACGGATGGGTGGTTTTTCGTTGTTTCAGTGCCGGAGGATCATATTCCGACCCTAATGAAATCCGGACGCAGTCTCGCATGTGTATGTGGGGCGGGATACGTAAAATTCCAGGGTCGTGGAGGTAAATTCTTTAATACTCCACCAAGTAAAGAGGCAGATAAGAACCCGGAAGTCGTGGATACTACCTTTTTAGCTATTGACTTTTAAGCTGCTGAACAGG